GGATCGGCGAAAGGGGGGAGCCACGTGCATATGGGGGCAGAGGCGAGAGCTTCGAGGTGCGAGGTTCTCGGGCGCTCTCGCGGGTCCTCGGCGGTGTTCCGGCCTCGGGATGCGTTTCCAGCAGCTGCGCCCCGCCGAGAGCTCCCCGGGGGGGGGGCCCGCATCGCCCAGGCCAGCCGCCGCAGACCCGAAGTTCGGGGGCGGAAAAGAAGGGGGTGATGACTAGGGGGGGGTGGATGTCATGGCGGGGGTCATGATATTTCCACAGATTTGATGGCGTCTCTTCTTACTTCATTGCATCTCTGGCCCCCCCGCTGGGCCCCGCACATGCCGCTGGTCATGATTTGCACCCCCCCTCTTGGACACCCCCCCTCTTGGCCGCTCCCGAGAAGTGTTCGGCGGCGAGCCCTGGGGCGGAAGGGAGAGGGGGCAGGCCTTCTCAGGAGAGCGTTCTTTGCTTCCCAGGCGATAGCGTCGTGGAGGACGATCGATGGAGAGGCAGCACGTTGCCAAGCATTTCCAGATGTCCAGAACATGTGTTACACATGTTTTAGACATGTGCAGAACATGCCTGAAACATGTGTAGAACATTGTTCCGACATTGTAAGCAGATTTTAATTTCAATGATAGGGCTGTTAGGGTGTCCGTTGTCGTGGCATCCACGACGATAGCGGGCGTTACCGGGGAGGAGGCCGGTAACGCCACGATTCGCGCCAGCGCCGTCTGGGAATGCTCTACCCCTGGCCATTCATGAACGGCGCCAGCGCGAGCCGTGGCGTTACCAGGTGAGAGGGGGAGGGCGGGGGGCATCCCCGGTAACGGCCGTTATCGCGCATATCGTAAAAGGAAAAAGGCGCTCCAGGGGAGGATTCAGAGGGGGCAGGCCTTCTCATCGGGGAACGAACAATGACGTAAATACAAAGACTCTGAGGGCCGCGCAGATTTCTCAGATCGGCGCTGGAGCCCCCTGGCGGCGCCTCCGGCGCGGCCCATGGCACGCTCCGCGCGCCAGGGAAGGGGGTCCAGCGCCGATCCGAGACGTCAGCGCGCACCTCCGAGCTGTTATGCTTATCTCATTGTTTGTTCCCTCATCTCAGAAGGCGGCGGGACTTCTCGACTTCTCAGAAGCCCTCCCGCCTTCTGAGCAGCAGGGTATTGTGAGGACGGACGTGTGCGTGTTGCCGCATCGATGATGGATGCACACTGGGTTCACTGTGGTCCTGCTCCTCGTGGCCCCTGGCGGCGCCTCTGGCGCCGCATTTGGCGCGGTTCTCGCAGACCTCGGGAAACTTATGTTTATGTTTTGTCCTGATCCTCTAGGCAGGGAGGGAGCCTGCGGCGCGAGATCAGCACGGAGCATGGAGTCGGCAGCTTTTGCGGCTCCTTTGAAAGCGGATTTTTTCCCAACCATCCTGTGGTGTTGGGTCCTCGTTTTGAAGAGACGGTGCCCCGCGTTCCTCCTTCCTTCCTTCCTTCCTTCCTTCCTTCCTTCCTCCCGCTGCCTCCTCCCCCCTCCCATCATCATCATCATCATCATCATCATCATCATCATCATCATCATCATCATCATCATCATCATCATCATCATCATCATCATCATCATCATCATCAACAACACCCATTTCGGCACACCCCTCACACGTTTCGTGGCTCCATAGGGAGCTCCACCGAAGGCCCCAGTGCCCGCGGCCGCATGCGTCCCCCACACCCATTTCGGCACACCCCTCACACGTTTCGTGGCTCCATAGGGAGCTCCACCGAAGGCCCCAGTGCCCGCGGCCGCATGCGTCCCCCACACCCATTTCGGCACACCCCTCACACGTTTCGTGGCTCCATAGGGAGCTCCACCGAAGGCCCCAGTGCCCGCGGCCGCATGCGTCCCCCACACCCATTTCGGCACACCCCTCACACGTTTCGTGGCTCCATAGGGAGCTCCACCGAAGGCCCCAGTGCCCGCGGCCGCATGCGTCCCCCACACCCATTTCGGCACACCCCTCACACGTTTCGTGGCTCCATAGGGAGCTCCACCGAAGGCCCCAGTGCCCGCGGCCGCATGCGTCCCCACACCCATTTCGGCACACCCCTCACACGGTGGTTCCAGTAGGGAGCTCCACCGAAGGCCCCAGTGCCCGCGGCCGCATGCGTCCCCCACACCCATTTCGGCACACCCCTCACACGTTTCGTGGCTCCATAGGGAGCTCCACCGAAGGCCCCAGTGCCCGCGGCCGCATGCGTCACCCACACCCATTTCGGCACACCCCTCACACGTTTCGTGGCTCCATAGGGAGCTCCACCGAAGGCCCCAGTGCCCGCGGCCGCATGCGTCCCCCACACCCATTTCGGCACACCCCTCACACGTTTCGTGGCTCCATAGGGAGCTCCACCGAAGGCCCCAGTGCCCGCGGCCGCATGCGTCCCCCACACCCATTTCGGCACACCCCTCACACGTTTCGTGGCTCCATAGGGAGCTCCACCGAAGGCCCCAGTGCCCGCGGCCGCATGCGTCCCCCACACCCATTTCGGCACACCCCTCACACGTTTCGTGGCTCCATAGGGAGCTCCACCGAAGGCCCCAGTGCCCGCGGCCGCATGCGTCCCCCACACCCATTTCGGCACACCCCTCACACGTTTCGTGGCTCCATAGGGAGCTCCACCGAAGGCCCCAGTGCCCGCGGCCGCATGCGTCCCCCACACCCATTTCGGCACACCCCTCACACGTTTCGTGGCTCCATAGGGAGCTCCACCGAAGGCCCCAGTGCCCGCGGCCGCATGCGTCCCCCACACCCATTTCGGCACACCCCTCACACGTTTCGTGGCTCCATAGGGAGCTCCACCGAAGGCCCCAGTGCCCGCGGCCGCATGCGTCACCCACACCCATTTCGGCACACCCCTCACACGTTTCGTGGCTCCATAGGGAGCTCCACCGAAGGCCTCAGTGCCGCCGCCCGCATGCGTCACCCCCACCCATTTCGGCACACCCCCCGCATTTCTCGCACGGCAGGGTCATCACCACGGTGGCGTGCCAGGGGCGCACCATGCGCGAAGGCGACGGGGCGGGGGAACGGCGCTCCGGGGGCGGCCAGACCTCCGGGGCGCGAGCAGTCCGCGGCCAGACCATCTCTCGGTCCTGTGGACTCTCGCCCTGGGCCGTCGGCTGCCCGGCGCGCTGCTCCCTCGGTCGACGTCGCCCAGGCGTGATCCTGGATTGCGGCCGCCACGAGGTAGGGAACGGCAAGAAGGAGGACGACGACTGGTGGCTGGAGCTCTACGTGCTGCTCTCGCGCGCCACGCGCCACGAGGACCTCCTGCTCATGCGGGCGCCGCGCATCGAGTTCTTCCTGGCAGGGCCGCCGCAGGGCTTGCGGAAGCAGCTGGAGCAGTTTGCGGCGCGCACGAAGCGGTGCAGGAGGGAAGCGACGGCCCTCGCCAGGGAGCTCGGCTTCACCGAGTTCATCCGCGAGGCCTGACCTGAGGAGCGTCTCCCCCGAGCCGCGCCTTCTCTCGACTGCCCGACTAATTGTTTGGCCTCGCGCCGCGGACGACCCGCGCGCGTCGCTGGGACCCTCTCGGGGCGACCAGCGCGCGTCGCGGGAACTCCGTGCTGCGGGGGGCCCGGCGCCTCGTTCGCCCGTCGTCGCTCTGCCCAGCGGTCAGAGACTTGCCCGCTATCAGCCAGCCAGTTAGCTAGTCAGCTCTCTCTGCTTCGCGCAGCGGACGACCCGCGCGCGTCGCTGGGACCCCGCCCGGGGCGACCAGCGCGCGTCGCGGGGACTCCGCGCTGCGCTGCGCCCGCAGCCTTGGATTTTGGAGTGCGCGGGCAAAGAGGAAGGAACAGAAGAGCCGAAAGCGGGCGCGATCCTCGCAAGAGGCGTGCCGACATGGGCGTCGCGACGTGCGGACGCTGCCGTCGGGGTTCCCGCGGAAGCTGCCTGCGGCGGCCACGCCCAGTGTCACGTGTGTTCGGACAGGCATGCTCGACACTTACACTAGGCGGTTCCATGATCGCATTCATGCAAATATATTCACTCGCGCGCAGACCCATTCATACTCAGATTCCCTCGCGCTCTGACTCACCCGCGTTCTTTCTCTCGTAATCAGATCTATCGTATTCCTTTGCGTTGTGTACCCCGCCACATTTCGGCACACCCCTCATGCGGTTCGTGGCCCCATAGGGAGCGCCACCGAAGAAGATACTCACAATTGCGATACTCACAACTGCATATGGTTGGGTCCTTCGCCAGGATAATTTTTCGGTGTGGAGTTGTTCGCGCGTTGTCAGCATCCATTGCCCATGCCATTGGAACCTGCCAGAGGATGATTAGCCCAATCTAACGAGGTTTGCACATGTGATTTTCGACGGTGACGTTGGATCCAGAGCCTCGCGTTCAATGCGCCTCTGTCGACGCACCAGAGGGCTGCGGTAGACAAACACACACACACACACACACACACACACACACACACACACACGCACACACACACACACACACACACGGACACACACACACAGACACACACACACACACACACACACACACACACACACACACACGTCAGCGTCAGCGTCAGCGTCAGCGTCAGCGTCAGCGTCAGCGTCAGCGTCAGCATGCGCACTCCGAATATTTACGATCGGGGGCAACGTTAAGGGGGGACTGGATCAGGGGGAAGCGCATCGACCCGACGCATCGACTCCTAATCGCCCATGCATCGCAGACACGGGCCCGATCGGCCACTCCGCCCAGGATTGTGTGGATTTTCGATCGGGGGGCGCTGCACCAAGAACCACTTCGGCCCGAGGAGGGGCTCTGGTTTTCGGGCTGTTCCTCCGACCCAGGTCGGGGGACCTTTCCGTGGCCATGAAAGCCCCTTGTTGCTTCATTCAGCGGTTCTTATGGCAGCACGCTGACCGCGTGGTGGCCTTTGCGGGGACGGGGGGCGAAGAGACTGGAGGTCGAGCTCTGGTGCGGCGGAAGGACGGCGAAATTCATTGCAGGGAAGGGTCCCTGGGGCGGGGCGCCAGGCTGGCGCCGGTTTGCGACTCGAGATTCGCAGTATCACGATGGAGGAGGAGGAGGAGGAGGAGGAGGAGGAGGAGGAGGAGGAGGAGGAAGAGGAGGAGGAGGAGGATGGCCGCGATGTATCGCCGATTCCAGTTTGAAGTTTCCCCAGCGGAGTCGGTCCCCCACGCTGCCGCTCTCCCTCGCAGGCGGGCCGCCCGCGCCTTGGCGTGAAGGCCTCGAAGTCCGTCCCCGTTTTGTTGCCGAGAGAAACTATGAAGTGGCCGGCACCCCAAACGAATCGCTCCCCCCCAAGAAGAGTCGGTCTTGGCGTCGTGGCAAACATCCGGTCGCCCGGTTCTTCATCGCACGGCCGATCGAACAAGCACGCGGCGGTGTGCGGACTGGCGTTTCGCAAGGTTTGCCGCGGGCAGATATCGTCACCGTCTTCATTGTCGGCTTTCTTCGCTGACCCTCGTCCTCCTAGGGGCTCCCACGAGGGCGCGAAGTTATTCGCGCTTCGCGGTCCTCTTTCCTTCTTCCCCTCCTCCTCGTCCTCCTTTTCTCCCTTTTGGGGGGCGGCGCGAGAGCGCGAAGTTATTCGCGCTTCGCGCAGCGCGAAGCGCGAAGTTGGGAGCCCTCGTCCTCCCGATCCCCTGCCCCGCGCCTGCCCCCCCCCACCGTGCCCTCCAGGCGCTTTCCTGCCTCCCGCCTCCCGCCTCCCCTCGGCAGAGCTCCCGAGGACACCCCCCGCCTCCTGTCCTCATCCTCGTCCGTTCCCCCCTCCCCTCCAGGCTCTCCCCCTCCTCCCCCTCTCTTCCTCCTACTCTCTCCTCCTCCTCCTCCTCTCCTCCTCCTCCTCCTCCTCCTCCTCACCTCCTCCTTGCTCTCCTCCTCCTCCTCCTCCTCCTCCTCCTCCTCCTCCTCCTCCTCCTCCTCCTCCTCCTCCTCCTCCTCCTTGATCCCTGGCAAAACCTCCAGAGGGCCCGTGATGATGGCGATGGCGGTGACGGCGCTTGTGGAGCGCTGGGCGCTCTCCGCACTCGTTGCCACGGCACGGGGCTCGCCCGGCGCCTCGGCGAGGGCCCCAGGTGCCCGGATGGTCTGCACAGAGACGCGTAGAGATTCGAGCAGGGCGTCGGTTGCAGAGTCGACTTACAGTCGGGGCCCTGAAGAAGGAACCCTTTTCGTTGGGGAGGGGCTCCGCGTTCCTTAAGGGTTTCACAGCTTGCCTCAGGTTCTCCTGGTGTTTTCGACGGGAAGTCGAAGTTTAACCCATGGAAACAAGGGGCCTCGTTCCTTATTTAGGGTTCCTTAGGTCAACGCCCCGACTGTAGGGCGTCGGTTGCAGAATCGACTGACTCCATGATTGATTGCCTCGCCGAGTCTTCCAAAAGAGACGTCGCATTTTCCGTGGGTTCGGCAGAAAAAGATGTCGGTTCTGTAGTCGATCTCTTCCTCGCGAGGTGGGCGCAGCTCGGTCAGGCTGGTTCTGGCCGCCCGTGCCACGGGTCTCGCGCCTGGCCTTAAGTCGGGCCTGTCCCCCTACAGGGGGGTTTTCGACGAAAAAAAAATAAAAAATACCCCCCCAAATAGTCCAAACATAGTCTGGGGACTATTTTTTGAGTATCTTTCGGCCTTTGGGGGGCATTTTCGGTGTATTTTTTGTTTCTCGTCGAAACTCCCCCTGTAGGGGGACAGGCCCGACGTAAGCCTGGCCGCCTCGGGCCCCCCCCGCGGGTCCGTCCTCGGCCCCGGTCGCGGTGTGTCCGCGGTGCTGTCTGGGCAGGCGGCGAGCCTTGGCCCGTCTGCCGCGCTTGCAGGGCCCGCGGTCCGTGCGGAGGGAGGGGGAGGGAGGGAGGGCGGGAGGGCGGGAGGGAGGGGGAGGGGGAGGGGGAGGGAGAGGGGGAGGGGGGGGGGGTGGAGAGGATGTGGAGGAGGAGGAGGAGGAGGAGGAAGAAGAAGAAGAAGACGAATAATAATAATGATAGTAATAATAATAGTAATAATACTAGTAATAATACTAATAATAATAGTAGTAATAATAATAAGAAGAAGAAACATAAGAAGAAGAGGAGGAGGATGCGGAGGAGGAGGAGGAGGGAGGAGGAAGAGGAGGAGGAGGAGCAACTTGTTATTGGCTCCTGTTCTTGGCAGCTGAGCAAAGCAATCTTGACGCGACTGAAGATATGGGAATGGAGCTTTCTGCGAAAGATCTTTGGGTGGCGCCGGAGACCAGACGACACCCCGATGACATACAGCTCGCGTACATCGGGTTGGATACAGCAGCTGTTCCAGAAGTTTCGGAAACAACCGTTGCATACACGTGTGCTGAAGGCCGTCTACACGCACGCGTGGCGGAAGTTGTCGTACCCCACCGTCGGACGCATTATTTTTTTGAGCAAGAGCAGGGCATTTCGAGATAGAAGTTGGTGGGAGTATTTCAAGAACCGCGGGGAGTACACGAGACGCAGGCGAGAACACATGTTACACGCGTTTGCTGGTACTTTCACACACTGGGAGGACATTTTCTGTGAAGCTTTCGGTGTGAATTGGAGAGCTGATCGGCGGAGCGCCTGTTCTAGCAAGAGAGAGTGGCGTTTTCATTTCTGGGAATTTGCGCGCGTTGTTTGCGAGCGGCATGGGCTACCTTTATGTTGCTGGACCCCCGGCGTGCCGGAGGAAGCGGGAAACGTCGTGGCGCGGGCTGGCAGAAACGGACACGGCAAGAAGACCCAATACACGTTGGACAATTGCCCGAAAACTCACGCAGAACTTGGGTGCGAAAGCAGACCTTTCAGATGGAGTGGTCAGGGAAAACGCTTTGTTTGCGTTTCCGATTGTCAGCCTTTGCTCGAAGTGGCGATGGGCAGGTCTCCCCTCACGAATCCGATGCTTGAGCCAGTATTCCAAACACTATCCCGGGATATCGCGTGGTTGATGGAAGCCGACTTGTCACCGCCAGCTCTACATCAAGATCCTGTTGTTTGGCGTCGTCGGTGTTATAACCGCGAGGCGGACCATTTTGTGAATTACACCATGGACATACAGCGTTCTTGGCACGATATCCTCCCACCAGAACGCGACGTTCGAGACGCAAATTTCGTCATGCATTTCGACGGCGGCACAAGGAAAGATCTATGCTCGGCTGCTGCGTGGTTGTTCGAAGCTGAAATTGACGGTGAATGCGTTCTACTGGCAAGACGAGGTATTTTCTTCTCAACACCAGTGCCTTCCTTTACTGCAGAATTGCTTGCTCTGGAATCATGCACGGACTCATTGAGAAGGTTTTGGCGGAGTGTCTTGTTCAACGAGTACTGAGGGGGCGGCCATCCCTCCCACCAGGGATTTGGGCTGAGGCAGAAGAAGAAGAAGAGGAGGAGTAAGAGGAGGAGTAAGAGGAGGAGGAGGAGGAGGAGGAGGAGGAGGAGGACGAGGAGGAGGACGAGGACGAGGACCAGTGTAAATCCAATACGCATCAGCGATGTTGAAATGAACTCTCCCTCCAAGTGCCCTTTTCAGAGGTCCCAACAAGATGTTATACTCACTGTGGGAAGTGCCCTATTGGAAGACAACCGTCTGATGATCCTGAACTGTGCAAAACAGCCAACATGCCTGGGGTTTCAACGCCGAGAACGAACGTGACTGTTGCGCGCTGACAATATTCTTCACGCTTCGCGTATCCCCACCAGCCCATCTCAAAACAGCAACTCTAGCGAAGCATGCCGACAGTCGTGTTTTTCAGGCGTGTTTCCGCCTGCCCCCGCATATCTCCCCTGTTCCTCCTTCCTCCCGCCTCCTTGTACATCCTCCTTGTGGTGGGAGCGGGAGAAGGACGAGGTGGAGGAGGAGGGAGAGAAAACGCTCCTCGTGGTTTGAGTCGTTCGGGCTTCTCGTCCTGGTGTGAGTCGTTCGGGCCCTTCTTCCTGGTGTGAGTCGTTGGGCTCGTCGTGGTGTGAGTCGTTCGGGCTCTTCGTCCTGGTGTGAGTCGTTCGGGCTTCTCGTGGTGTGAGTTGTTCGGGCCCCTCGTCCTGGTGTGAGTCGTTCGGGCCCCTCCTCCTGCCCGTCCAGAAACGACGCCCAGGCGAGTAGAGGGTCGTCCTGATGGGCTTTTCGGCGTCTTGGGTGCCTCGGGGGGGCCTCTTTGGGCCGTTTGGGATCCTCTTGGGGGCCTCCTGGGGGCCTCTTGGGGCCATCTTGGGGCCTCTTGGTGCCTCCTGGGCGCTTCTTGAGGCCATCTGGGAGAAAATCGATCAAAGAAGAGGGGAGATTTAATGGCCAAAATGGGGCCAAAACCGTAGTAACATAAATGATTTTGGCTCCAAAGAAGAGGGGTGCATTTCCGTCAGCCCCCCCGTCGGGGCCAGAATCCTCGTGAGGGGTGTCGAATTTTAGCCCTCCCAGGGGTCGGAAAAAAAGGACCCTCCAACCACCCGCGAAAGGCCCCCTCCAGGTCCAGGGTAGGGGGTAGGGGGAGGGGTAAACCCCTCCCCGAAGGGGAAAGAGGGGGTTGAGAACAGAGAGAGCTCGCTAAACCACTCACGCCCAAAGGGCTGGTGGGATTAAATAGTACCAGAACGCCGTTAATGGAACTTCAAACCGCGAGCTAACGTGACTGATGCGTCTTGACAGTCCCAAATCGCGCCAGAACACTAAACACCAGGGATTCAAGCATGCGAATATTAAACAATGCTGCGAACCTGGGAAAACAACAACTGTGCGCGTGTGGCGATGGCGAAAACTACTCTGAAACCGAACCGTCCTGCATCCTTGAAACTGCAACAGACGTTGAAGACGGATGTTCGCGCTTGGCATCGATCGGATGTGTGCATTTTTCCTTCGGCGAGGACCATCGAGGAGCCTCCTTGATCATTTGGCGAAAAAACCACGCGCGAAACCGAGAAAAAACACAGGGAACGGACGTCCGAGCGATGGCCAGCGCGGCGCCAAGCTGAGAGCCTCATGGTGAGAACAGGCCGCCCTCCATCCTCGAAGCTGTTCCACATTTTTGAGCTTCGGGATCATACACGGTGGGGAAATCTCGGCCGAAGCGCCCGGCCCAGCCTGCCGACACGTCCGGAGGTGCGAGAGGGAGACGTCAGGTATAAAGGAAGAACGGATGGAGGAGGGAGAGGAAGAGGAGGCAGGAGAGGAGGAAGAGGAGGCAGGAGAGGAAGGAGGAGGAGGAGGAGGAGGAGGAGGAGGAGGAGGAGGAGGAGGTGGAGGAGGAGGAGGAGAAGGAGGAGGAGAAGGAGGAGGAGGAGGAGAGAGCAAGGGAGGGAGGGGCAGGGGGGAGGGGGGAGGGAGGAGGAGGAGGTGGAGGAGGAGGAGTTGAGGGAGGAGGAGGCAGAGGAGGAGGGAGGAGAGCAGGAGGAGCGAAGAGAAGAGGAGGAGGAGGATTGTCAGGAGGTGTCAGGAGGAGGGTGGAGGGAGGGAAGGGGGGAGGGAGGCTCCTCCTCCCCACCCCTCCGCGACCGCGCGCGCGCGCGCCCCTCTCCGGCGGGCGCGAGCAGGCGGCGCAGAACTCGGAGGCGAGGACGAAGCTGTTCCAGAAGGACCCCGGTTCTGGCGTCGTCGCCGGGGGGGGCGGAGGAGCAGCAGGAGGAGGAGGGAGAGGCGGAGGCGAAGGCGGAGGCGTGCAGCCGGGTGTTAAACACGCGCGCCGGGCCCCAAGGCGGCCTGAGAAGCGCCCACGACGGCCTCAGCTACAGGTGTCGGAAACAAGTAAGCAACACTCATGCAGAACATCTGGTTTGAACCTCCCCGCCCCTCCCCCCAAATGCAATGTTGGTGTCGGATCTTCGGATTTTGGGCCTCCGAGCGGTCTTGCGAAAACCTGTCAACTTTGAATTGCGGGGGAGGGGGGGAGTGTTGCTTAATTGTTTCCCTCAACCGTATCCCCAATACTGTACCCCCTAGAAAGAGAGATCCAAGATGGCTCTAAGACGGCCCAAGAGCGCTCCAGGAGGGCCAAGACCGCCCAACAGCGTTCCCCGATGGCCCACGATGGCGTTATGAATGTCCCAGAGGGCCCCAAGATGGTCCCAGAGGCCCGCAAGAGGACTCCCGAGAGGACCTGAGGAGGCCAAAATCATTGCCTTCCTAATGTGTTTGTATGTTTTTCCCAACCATCCTGTGGTGTTGGGTCCTCGTTTTGAAGAGACAGCGCCCCGCGTCCCACCTCCTCTCCTCCTCCCCCTCCTCGCCCTCCTCCCTCCTCCCCCTCCTTGCCTCTGCTCTCGGCACACCCCTCACACGTTTCGTAGCCCCATACGGAGCTCCACCGAAGGTCCCAGTGGCACAGCCCGCATGCGGTTCCCCCACCCAGTACAGCGCTTCGTAGCCCCATAGGGAGCTCCACCGAAGGTCCCAGTGGCACAGCCCGCATGCGGTTCCCCCACCCAGGGCAGCGTTTCGTAGCCCCATAGGGAGCTCCACCGAAGGTCCCAGTGGCACAGCCCGCATGCGGTTCCCCCACCCAGGGCAGCGTTTCGTAGCCCCATAGGGAGCTCCACCGAAGGTCCCAGTGGCACAGCCCGCATGCGGTTCCCCCACCCAGGGCAGCGTTTCGTGGCCCCATAGGGAGCTCCACCGAAGGCCCCAGTGGCACAGCCCGCATGCGGTTCCCCCACCCAGGGCAGCGTTTCGTAGCCCCATAGGGAGCTCCACCGAAGGTCCCAGTGGCACAGCCCGCATGCGGTTCCCCCACCCAGGGCAGCGTTTCGTCGCCCCATAGGGAGCTCCACCGAAGGTCCCAGTGGCACAGCCCGCATGTGGTTCCCTCACCCAGGGCTGCGCTTCGTGGCCGCATAGGGAGCTCCATCGAAGGCCCCAGTGGTGCAGTTCGCATGCCCCCCCCCCACCCAAGGCAACGTTTCGTGGCCCCATAGGTAGTTCCCCCGAAGGTCACAGTGGCGCGTGTCGCATGCGTCCCCCCCCACCCAGTACAGCGTTTCGTGGCCCCATACGGAGCTCCACCGAAGGTCCCAGTGGCACAGCCCGCATGCGGTTCCCCCACCCAGTACAGCGCTTCGTGGCCCCATAGGGAGCTCCACCGAAGGACCCAGTGGCGCAGTTCGCATACGTCCCCCCCACCCAGTACAGCGCTTCATGGCCCCATACGGGGCTCCCCCGAATGCGATACCCACAGCTGCATATGGTTGGGTCCTTCGCCAGGCTAATTAGGGTTCTCGCTTTTGCGTGCTCACGACGGTCCAAGACGGCCCAAGAGACCCCAATGATCGCCCCGATACGGCCCAAGAGGCCCTCAAGAGGGTCCAAATACCAAACGGACACCAGAACGGCTCCAGGGGCCCCGAGAGAGTCCCAAAGGGCCCCAACAGGACCCCCAAGAAGGCCCTGAGGCTACAAATAACAGAGGTTCCCAAGAGCCCGCATTGGCGTGACAAGCTCGTAACACCAGGGTGCCCAAGAGCAAGCTGTGACGCAAACAACTCTTAACACCACGGCTTTCGAGAGCGAGCGGTGACGTAACAAGCTTTGAACACCAGGACTCCCAAGAGACCATAGTGGCGTGACACGCTCTTTAACACTAAGGCTCCCAAGAGCGAACGGTTTCGTTAAAAGCTGTCAACACCAAGGCTCGCAAGAGCGAGCGATGATGTACGTAAAAAGTTCGGCACACCAAGGCTCGCAAGAGCCCATAGTGAGCCCATAGTGGCGTGACAAGCTCTTAACACCAAGACTCCCAAGAGCGAACTCGGCCTTGAAAAGCTCTGAACACCAATGCTTCCAAGAGCTGTCAGTGACGTGGCAAGCTCTTAGCACCAGGAGTCGCAAGGTCGAGCGGTATCGTATCACCCCCGCAAAACACCCTGATAGCAGCTAAGGTGTGGAGGCGGATGGGCGCCTGAAGCGTCGGCTTGTGAGAACGACCTCATCAGATTGTCATGTATTGTCGATACGATTGCGGAGTTGAACTTGCTGATGGGGGTGACGTTCGTGATGGCGACATGGTGACATGAACACGTTCGGAACAGCATCAGCGACTGGGCGACACCACTCCTGGCAGCTGAATGGTGAGACGTCTATGGCCGTGCTACACTTTCTGGATCTAGGACAGCTGGAATAGTGAAAATCCGACGCCCCTGCCACAGTTTCTGTACCTGCGACGGCTGAAATCGAGCCAGATAATTAGGGTGAGTTTCATTTCTGGATCTGCTAGGGCTGAAATCGAGCCAGAGCATTCGGCCAATACTGTGGAGATTCTGGTGAGCAAAATTTGGCATGAAATCTCACCTGAACGCAGTAGTGGGCATATTTCTTTGACAAATCAGCCCAGAATACCATAGTAAGTCTCACTTCTGGATTTGGTAGGGTTGAAATCGAGACAGAATGTTACAGCGACCTCCATTTCTGGACCAAACCGAGCCATAACACAGTAGTGAGTTTCATTTCTGGATCTGCGTAGGTTGAAATCGAGCCAGAACATTCGCTCCCCTCCCCCCACTGTGGCGATTCTGGCACGAGGAATCTTCGAATTGAAATCCGCGCAGAACACCGTAGTGAGTGAGTCTCACTTGTTCCATTTCTGGACCAAATCGGGCCAGAACACCATGGTGATTCCCATTTGATTCTGACACCCTCCTCTGTGCGCCTATTTTGGCTCAAGATGAAAAGGAGATATTGCAGTACATCGGCATATTATCTCATCATGGTAGCGTGAGCTGGCCACTCACTGCTGCCGACCCCACCCAGGCCTCGGCGCGCCGCGGCCGCGGGCGCCACGGCGAGCCAGCAGGAGGCTCGAGGCTGGAAGAGAGCGGCATCGATCGCGGCAAGCTCGGCAGCGTCCGAGCGACCGGCAGGGGCCGGGAGAGGCGGCCGCAGGCGCGGCAAGCGGAGTGAGGCGGCGATCGAGACCAGGCGCAAGGCCCTCCAGTTCAAGCACGACTTGAGGGAGACTGGCAACCAGCTCCGAGACCTCGCACATATCGAGGACCATCCCTCGGAGAACTCATCGGACGCCATTGAGGAGGCGCAGAAGGAGGTCCTAGGCAGGATCACGGACCTTGAGCGCACGAGGCAAGAGATAGCAGAGAGCCGGGAGGAGCTCGCCGAGAGACACGCTGTCAAGCATGGACGAGCAGGTTCGGCAGCAGTTCGAACTGCTGAGGCAGGAGTTCGCGGCTCAAATAGGCCAGGCCGCCGACGAGATGAGGAGGCTGGAGAACGAGAATCAGCGTCTTCAGCAGCAGGTGGCAGGAGGCCTCGCGGCAATCCCGCAGGCGATCGAGCGGATGGGCGAGCAGATCCGGGGCGCATCGAGTATGGGCCCAGCCGCTCACGGTCTCGTCGACACGAAGGGGATCGGCAAGCCCACGACGATGGGCGACGATCAAGAGAAGTTCGGCGCTTGGAATCGCAAGATGGAGAACTACGTGATCGGCGTGTACGGAGAGAGTTTTCGTCCCGTTCTTCGGTGGGCTGCAGAAGCCGAACGCCCCGTGACGATCGCGGGGGCTCAGGCGGCGCACGACGGAGTGCCAGAGCTGGAGACAAAGGTCAACCAGCTGTACGCGGCGCTGATCAGCACGACGGCGGACGGGAGCGAGAGCAACGACCTCGTGACGGGCGCTCCCGATGGGAACGGTCTCGAAGCCTGGCGGAAGCTCCACCGCAGGTGGGATCCGACGACAGGTCCGAGGAAGAGGCTGATCCTGAGGTCGATCATCTCGCCTCCGAAGTGCAGCGCGGACGAGCTGGGGTCCGCCTTAGAGAAGTGGATCCAGCAGATAGGCAGGTACGAACGCCGCCAAGGAGAAGATGGTCTAGCCGAGCTGCCGGAGGATATCAAGATGGCGGCTCTCGAGATGCTCGTCCCTCAGGACATCGAGAACCACCTCGTCCTCAACAAGCATCGGCTCGAAACGTTCCAGGACAGTCTGAACGAGGTGATGACGATCGTGGAGGCTCGGACCGGCGTGAAGATCAAGGAGCCATCGATCCGTGCGCGGGCGCATCATCCGGACGACATGGACGTCGGGTCGTTCGGAGCCCCGAAGGGCAAAGGCAAAGGCAAGGGCAAGGACGGCAAGAGCAAAGGGAAAGGCAAGACTCAGGAGCCGAAGGGGAAGAGCAAATCGACGAACGGATCATACTCAGGCTCCCGCACATCCCCGACGGGTTCGGGCCGTGGTTCAGGGCACACGGCACCTCGATACACCAGCGGGCGCTTCGACGGCTACTGTCGGAACTGCGAGAGATGGGGCCACAAGGCATCCGACTGCTGGAAGAAAGAGCAGGGATCGAGTTCGAGGGCTGGAACTGGATCCGCAACGGGGGCAAGCGCTGGTGGTAAAGCCGGTAGCCGCGGCGGCAAGGCCGGCGGCAAGGCGGCAGGCAGCCTGGAGGAGGAGCCTGAAGCGGAGGTCGCCGCTCTGGACATGGGCAGCCTGGACTGCCTGGAGCTCGCCAGCGGCAGCGGCCGCGGCGTAGCGGCGGTCGATCTCTCCCCTTCGCGCAGGACGACTGGATGAAGTTCAACTGGGACAGCGGTGCAGCTATCTCAGCATTCCCTCGGAGCTTCGCGCCGCCGACGGGAATGAAGGGCAACGGCAGCACGTATCGCACGGCCAGTGGTGAGCTCGTCCCGGACGAGGGCAGCTTGCAGCTCAAGGCGGAGGACGAGTACGGAGTGCTACGAGCGCTCAAGGGACGCGTGACGAACGTGCACAAGCCGTTGATCTCGGTGGGGCAGGCAGCAGGAGCTGGACAGTGTTCATTCCTGGGCCGCAATGGCGGCTGGATATTCCACGAGAAGAGCCCAATCGGCAAGCGCGTGGTAGGCATGCTCGAGAAGGAGGCGAAGGCGGCGAAGCACCAGATGCTGCCGGTCTATCGCGAGCAGGGCGTCTACAACTTCTACCTCAAGAAGGGCCAACATGGCTCGGTTGCTCCTCTCGAGGAGGGACTTTCGGCGAAGTCGAAGTCCGAGCTGGTGGAGCTCCTCAGCGGCAAGTCGAAGGAGGAGCTGATGGAGATCCTCGAGAAGACAGTCCCCAGGAGGCAGCCCTCGGCGTAAGCCCACTGGAGGACTTAATACCACGGCCCCCGGCGGCATCGGCTGCGGGGGCGGCAGCGGCGGGGTCGGGACCTTCCGACGTGAGACCGCCGGGTTTTCAGCCAGCGGCAGCTGCTGCGGCCGACGCTTTGCCAGCTGCTCCTGACGGACAGCAGGCCGACGAGGGCGAGGAGGAGGCTCGCCCGAGAGTGCTGAAGGCACCTCATGAGCCCTCTCAGAGGGAGATCGCCGAACACGAGGCGATGGGACACGCGACTTACCGCAGCTGGTGTCGCGTGTGTATTGCGGCAAAGGGCCAAGGCCAGCCGCATCTCCGCGCACCAGAGGACGACGAGACAGCGGTGCCGGTGGTCTCGTCCGACTACGCCTTCATGGGCCAGGACGACGCGGACACCATGCCGATGCTGGTCCTTAGGGATCGGCGCTCGAAGATGATGGCGGCGACATTCGTGGAGAAGAAGGGCGACGACGCCTACGCCATCAAGTTCTTCGCACGCTTCTTGCGGATCCTGGGCTACAGGAAGATCGTCAACAAGTCCGACGGCGAGCCAGCGATCCTGCTGGTCAAGAGGCGTGCGGTGGAGGAGGTTCCTGGCCTCGAGGCCATTCCCCAGGAGTCGGCACCGGCCGATCATCAGGCCAATGGGGAGATTGAGGTCACGGTGCGCGAGATCAAGAAGCAGGTGCGGGCGCTCAAGATGGACCTGGAGTCCAAGCTGGGCGTCAAGGTGGAGGACAAGCACCCGGTGCTAGCGCACCTGCCGGAGCACGCCGCATCGGTAATCAACCGATACCGGCGCGGCCAGGACGGCAAGACCGCTCTTCAGCGGCTCACGGGACGGCAGTGGAGGAAGCCGGTCCCGCTCTTCGGCGAACGCTTGATGGCGCGGTTCGCCGGGGAACGCGTGAGGAAGAACGCGCTGGAGGAGCAGATGGTGGAGGCTCGCTACATCGGCCACCACCCGCGCGACGGCTCGATGATGGTCATCACGAGCGACGGCGTGAAGAAGGCGGTCGGCTTCCGCAGCCTGCCGCAGAGCGAGAAGTGGATCACGGCGGGCTGGGATGGCCTGAAGGGCCTGCCGTGGGACGTGGCTCCGCGTGCGGCAAGCGCGCCGCGGGCCATCGTCGGACCTGGAGAGGTCGGTCCGTCACCAATTGTGGTGGTGTCGCCGCAGCCGCAGGCGCCGAGGAGGATGTACGTCCTCAAGGCGGACGTCGAGCGGCTGGGCGCAACGCCGGGATGCCCAGGGTGCGTCTCGATCGCTAAGCACGGCCGGGTGCTGGCTGGCCACGCGCACAACGCGGTGTGCAGCAAGAGGATCTTCGAAGCGCTGGACGCGGAGGAGGCAGGCCGGGAGAGGACCGGCCAGTATCGAGAGCGGAGGCAGGGCCAAGAGGCCAGAGTCCGACCGGCGGCATCGGCCGCGGCAGGGACCCCTCCGCCGAAGACGGCTCGGAGGATCACCGAGCCGGTGGCAGCGGCGGCAGCGGCATCGGCCGCGCCGGCCGCGACCCGCTCGGCAGCAGCGCCAGCCGTGGCAGCCACGGCGGCGCGCCGGCGAGAGAGCCAGCCGGTAGCACCGGGCTTCGGCGTGGCGGCTCCTTCAGGAGGAGCGAGCTCCAGTTCGGGAGCAGCGCGAGCGGCAGAGGCCGCCGCGGATGTCGACATGACCGCGGCTAGGTCGCGGCTGAAGCGCTCGGCAGAGGTGGCCCCGGATGATGTGCCGGAGGCCCTCGAGCGCGGTGATCCACAGCCGGCAGACGTGCCGGTACCGGTGGACATGGAGGATCTCGCGGCGCAGCCGGCACCGGCGGAAGGACCTCAGCTGCCAGCTGGAGTGGCAGTCGTGTGGAACGCCAGTGAGGGGAGGCACATGCGGGTGCTCGCCCTCGATGTGGCGTCGATCGAGCTGATTGAGCTCGGAGTGCTGACGAGAGCGAAGGCGGAGTTGCTCCCGCTCGTTCGCGAACAGGTCAGTGGCCATTGGGCCAGCGTCGGCGTGGACATCGCCGACGAGGAGGTGGACAGCATCGCCCTATCGGCGTTGCAGCTGGGCGCCGTGGACGTGGCCGAGGTGTACTCGCCACATCGGTTCTCGGCTCGGGCAGCGGAATTTCAGCTGCGCCCGGGCTTCGCGGCGGACCTGGAGGAACTCAAGGAGGACGGGGCGCCGTGGGACTTGCGGCGCCCCGAAGATGTCAAGGAGCTCGAGAAGCAGCAGGAGCGGATGGATCCCATCCTGCTCACGGGGTCCCCTCCATGCGAGAAGTTCAGCTTGCTGAGGGGCCTGAGCGCCAAGTTCAGGACCGATGAGCAGGAGGCGGCTGAGATGGAGGAGGCCAGACACCACCTGAAGGTGGCAGTCGACACCTACTGGCGTCAGCTCAGGAAGCCAGGCAGGTACTTCTTGCATGAGCATCCCTGGAGCGCGCGATCGTGGAATGAGGACATCGTCAAGGAGCTGGTCGCGCATCCAGGAGTCTTCACGGTCAAAGGCCCCATGTGTCGGTGGGGCATGAAGCTCACGAACCCCCGCAATGGCCAGGAGGAGTTCGTGCGCAAGGAGACCGGATGGGTCACCAACCATCCAGGCCTAGCCCGGAGGCTGCAGGGCACTTGCAGCAATGTGGACGGCCGCGCGGAATGGCATCGCCACATCACGCTCGTGGGCGGCATCGCGCGGTTCGCGAAGGTCTATCCACCGAAGTTGGTGGAGGCGGTGCTGGAGGCGGGCCTTGTGGCCCAGGCTCGCACGGTCGAGCGCGAGTGGGTCAAGAAGCAGGAGCTGATCGAGATCGTCCCGAGGTCTCAGGCTTTCGCCGAGACTGGGCGTCCGCCCATCCCACTCAAGTGGGTCGACACGAACAAGGGCGACGCGGAGAGGCCCAACTACAGGAGCAGGCTCGTCGTGAAGGAGATCAAGGCGAAGAAGCGCCCGGACGAGCAGCTGGAGGCGTCCGAGGTCTTCTCGGCCATGCCTCCTCTGGAGGCCATGCGGTCGCTGGTCTCGCTGATGGTCACGTGGACGCGGGAACCACCGCTCCACATTCAGGAGTCGCTTCGCAAGAAGGGAAGGAAGCCGGGCAACTTCAAGATCGGCTTCTTCGACATCAGCAGGGCGCACTTCTACGGGAAGGCGCAGCGGAGGATCTTCGTGGAGCTGGAGGAGGAGAGTCGCAAGGAGTACGGCGAGGACAAGTGCGGCCTACTCCTCAAGTCCTGGTACGGCACGCAGGACGCCAGCAAGATCTGGCAGGGCGACTACACGGAGCTGCTGGAGGAAAACGGCTACAAGGCGGGCGTGTCGTGCCCAGCGGTCTTCTACAAGGAGGTGGACGAGACGAGGCTGCTGGGGCACGGCGACGACTTCGCGGTGCTGGCTCAGCAGCAGGACATCGACAGCTTCGAGGCCACGCTGGGCAAGAAGTACGAGTTCAAGAAGATTGCGAACCTAGGCTTCGACGAGGGCGATGACAAGCAGGCGGTCTTCCTGAATCGGGTCATCGAGGTCAGTGCGGGAGTTCCGCCTGGCGGTGGCCGGCCCTGCCGGCATGCGATGATCGAGCCGGACAAGCGGCGCGCGGAGATCGTGATCGACGAGTTGGGTCTCAGCAAGGCCAACGGCGTGGACGCGCCGACGGAGAAGCGCAGCGCCGACAAGCAGATGATGGATGCGAAGTCGGCGGCGTTGGGAGCAGCGGAAGCTTCGCGCTTCCGATCCCTCACCATGAGGGTGGCCTACCTGTCTCAGGACAGGCTGGACTTGGCTGAGGCATCGAAGACGCTCGCCAGGTCCATGCAGACGCCAACGGAGGCGAGCTGGCTCATGCTCAAGAGGGTTGGCCGCTACCTCAAGCGGCATCCTAGCACGGTGACGGTTTTCACGGAGCAGAAGACGTTCGACAAGATCCGGGTGTACGTGGACTCCGATCATGCAGGCTGTGCAGTCACGCGGAAGAGCACCGGAGGCTTCGTGGCGATGCTGGGGCATCATGTAGTCAAGCACGGCAGTAACCTGCAGTCGACGGTTTCATTGAGCAGCGGGGAGAGCGAGTACTACGCCCTGGTGAAGGGCGGGAGCGTGGGCCTAGGCCTTCACAGCCTCTTCGCGGATTGGGGGCTGGACCTGAAGGTGGAGCTTGCCTCGGATTCATCGGCGGCCCGGGGCCACGTCCAACGGCGAGGTCTCGGGAAGATGCGGCATGTTCAATCACGGTACTTGTGGATCCAGGAGCGTGTTGGCAAGGGCGATCTCTCGATCGCTGCAGTTCCTGGCAAGAACAATGTCGCGGACGTGCTGACCAAGAGCGTGGGTGGCTCCCGGTTGAGGAGACACATGGCCACGCTGAACATCTGGGATCGGGCACCGAGTTCGAATCAGAAGGACATCAAGTGATGGAGTGGATCGAATCCATGCTCCGCTACCTGTGGGGCTGGATGAGGTTCAGCCGGCGGCGGTATGATCGCGCCGGGCGGAGTGAGGGGCTCGCGGCATGGCCGCAGCCTAGCCGATGAGCTGGGCGCGTCGGCTCGGGCGCGCCCGCGTACGACTTAAGTCGTGCCTGGCCGGTTTGCGGCCAGGCCCGAGGAGGAGTGATTCTGACACCCTCCTCTGTGCGCCTATTTTGGTTCAAGATGAAAAGGAGATATTGCAGTACATCGGCATATTATCTCATCACCATTTCTAGATATGGAAGGGCTGAGGTCGAGCTGGAACATCACACTGAGTTTCATTGTTGGACAGCATCGGGCCAGAACACCATGGGGAGTTTCATTTCTGAACCACATCGAGCCGGAGCAAGAGTGAGCCTCACCCCCAGCACCGCCAACGGCAGCCCGTCGTGCCTGGGAGACGCCTCCCCCAGGCCCCCTCGGGGAGATCTTCGGGGGTGGACAGAACCCCCAACAGTGACACGTCGATTCGTGAATTGTCCGTTTTCGGTTCTCGAGAGGGCGCCGTGGCCGTTATTTTTCAGGCTTGCGCCCGCCAGGTTTTGGCCCTCAGGTCGTTTTCACTAAACCACGTTTTGCTAAAGGGGGGTCTGTTCATCCCCGAGATCTTAGCGAGATGAAGTTTTTGAGCATTATAAAAACCCTCTAGCGAAGCTCGCTCAGAAAACAAACACCCTTAACACCAAGGCTCCCAAGAGCGAGCGGTGTCACGAACCATCTCATGCAAGTTTCTGAAGCGCTCTTTCCGTTCCCGTGCCGGCGCAGGTAACGGAAAGAGCAAAGTACGAGTGATGACGTTACGGTGGGAAGAAGCCTTCTTTGGAAGGGTCCAGGGGAGGGGCGTAGGGGGCACATTTGCGCGTAACACGTCCTCCCTCTCCCCAAGACGGCCAAAGAGGCGCCCAAGAAGGCCCACAATACGCCCAAGACGGCCTTCCAAGAGGGTTCCAAGACGGCCCAGAGCGCCCCCAACCGAGCCCAAGTCCGCCCAAGAGCGTTCGAATATGGCCTCAGATGGCCTCAAGACGGTCTCAGAGGGCCCCAAGACAGCCCAAGAGGCCCTCAAGAGGATCCCCGAGGGCTCGATGAGGCCAAAAACGTAGATGTTCCATATGTGTTGTTTGGGGTTCTCGCCTCTGTCCGGGCCAAGAACGGCCCAAGAGGCATCAAGAGGCCCCAACGATCGTCTCAAGAGGGCCTGAGAGGGCTCTCCACGACGGCCCAAGAGGGCCCCAAGACGGCCCAAGAGGGCCCCAAGAGGGGCCCAGAGGGGGGCCACAGAGAACCCCAAGAGGGTCCGACGAGGGCCTCAAGAGGCTCCCAGGAAAACCCAAGTGTGCCACAGGAGACCCCAAAGAGGACCCAAGATGGCCCCAGGAGGGCCCCACGCCGACTCGAGCTCCCCGAGACTGCCCCAAGATACCCCGAGAACGGTCCACGAGCCAGCCAAGAGCTTGGCATCGCTCGGACGTGTGTATTTTTCTTTCGGCGAGGACCATCGAGGAGCATCCTCGACCATTTGGCGAAAAAACCTCGCACGAAACCGAAAAAAGCACAGGGAATGGACGTCCGAGCGATGGCCAGAGAGGGCCCCCGAGGTGGCCCGCGGAGGCGAAAGTCACGGATGTTCCTTGGGGTGCCCACTGTCTTTCGGCTCTCGCTGCTTCGGGCCCAGGTCGGCCGAAGACGGCCCCGATGATGCCCGCGACTGCCGCAAGGCGGCCGAGGAGGCTCCCAGGGAGGGCCCCCAGACGGCCCAAGAAGGCCCCAAGGACGGCCACGGAGAGGCCCACGACGGCCCGAGAGGGCGCCGAGAGGCTCCCAGGACAGCCCAAGAGTGGCATAGGAGGCCCTCCGTAGCCATTTTGGCTCAAGCCATTCTGGCTCAAGACTCGAGCAGGCCACCCTGCCAGCCAGCATCGCTCGACCCTCTCGTTGTTAGTAGACCTCATCGATCTCTGCGCAAGCGACGAGCATGATGAAGGCGTGGGCGGTCACCAATTACGGCGATGCCTCGGCGCTCTTGACAGCGATGGACGTGGAGAAGCCGCAGCCAGGGGCCGGGGAGGTCCTGGTCAAGAACATGGCCATCGCAACCAACCCCATCGATTACAAGGTGATCGCCGGCGCCCTGGCACCAGGCGAGGAGGCGCCCCCCCAGCGCCTCATCGTGGGCTGGGACAGTGCGGGGGTGGTCGAGGCTGTCGGGGAGGGAGTGACAGACTTCCAGGCCGGTGACAAGGTCTGGTTCGCAGGTGACATCACCAAGGACGGATGCTACTCGCAGTACACCAAGATCGACTCACGACTCATCAGCAAGATGCCCAGTACGCTCTCCTTCGAGGACGCTGCTGCCTTGCCGCTGACCTTCCAGACAGCGTGGGAGGGCATGGTGGAGCTGATGGGCGTCCAGAAGGGCAAGTCGATCTTCGTCTTGAATGGCGCTGGCGGGCTCGGGTCGATCGTCATCCAGGTCGCTAAGCACCTCGGGCTCACAGTGATTGCCTCCGCATCGCGCGCGGAGACCATCGAGTTTTGCAAGCAGATGGGCGCGGACCACGTGGTCAACCACCGCAACGAGGACCTCGGCGCTGAGCTCAAGCAGGTCGGCTTCGACTGCGTGGACTATATCTATAACGCCCACGAGAACGATCGCCTCGGGGAGCTCTTCAAGCTGCTGGTGTGCGACGGGAGGCTTGTGGTCACCTACGGCCCTACGCAAGAGCAGATGGCGAAGGTGGACTGGACCACCGTGTGGCTGAAGAGGCAGACGCTGTGCTTCCAGATGATGTTCGCGCGGCCCATGTTCAATACCGAGCCCGCGATGGTGGGTGGCGTGATGGCAACCATGGCAAAGCTCGTGGACCAGGGCAGCATCAAGACGACTGTCACGAAGAAGTACGGGGGCATGGAGCATATCAATGATGCCACCAAGCTTCAGATGTCTGGCAAAAGCATCGGCAAGATCTGCCTCACCATGACGCACTGAGGCTGTGCTGCGTTGTATCGCAGTGCCAGTGTCGGCACTCCATTCTGAACAGTTCCTTCGCTGCTTGGCATTGGTGCGCATTGCCTTTTATGGATGTGCCACTGTCTGTGATCGAGCTCTGTTCGGCCTTACGCTTCGGTGTGCCTCATAGTTTCCATTGCTTTGCCTGATATAATCGGCACCTTTTCGAGCGCCGTTCAGCCCTGCAGCTAGAATGCGCTCAGAACACGGTCCCCGCGCACGCCCATGGAGTGTTCATATCCCAACCGTGCGCGGACAAACATTAGCCTGGCGACAGACCCAACCATCTGCAGTTGTGGGTATCGCATTCGGGGAAGCCCCCTATGGGGCCACGAAACGCTGTACTGGGTGGGGGGGGGGACGCATGCGAATTGCGCCACTGGGACCTTCGGTGGAGCTCTCTATGGGGCCACGAAACGCTGTACTGGATGTGGGGAGGACGCATGCGAACTGCGCCACTGGGACCTTCGGTGGAGCTCCCTATGGGGCCACGAAGCGCAGTACTGGACGCATGCGAACTGCGCCACTGGGACCTTCGGGGGAGCTTCCTATCGGGCCACGAAACGCTGCCCTGGGTGGGGGGGGAGGGGGGCGCATGCGAACTGCGCGACTGGGACCTTCGGTGGAGTTCCCTATGGGGCTACGAAACGCTGCCCTGGGTGGGGGAACCGCATGCGGGCTGTGCCACTGGGACCTTCGGTGGAGCTCCCTATGGGGCCACGAAACGCTGTCCTGGGTGGGGGAACCGCATGCGGGCTGTGCCACTGGGACCTTCGGTGGAGCTCCCTATGGGGCCACGAAGCGCTGCCCTGGGTGGGGGAACCGCATGCGGGCTGTGCCACTGGAACCTTCGGTGGAGTTCCCTATGGGGCTACGAAACGCTGCCCTGGGCGGGGGAACCGCATGCGGGCTGTGCCACTGGGACCTTCGGTGAAGCTCCCCATGGGGCCACGAAACGCTGCCCTGGGTGGGGGAACCGCATGCGAGGCAGCCACTGGGACCTTCGGTGGAGCTCCCTATGGGGCTACGAAGCGCTGCCCTGGGTGGGGGAACCGCATGCGGGCTGTGCCACTGTGACCTTCGGTGGAGCTCCCTATGGGGCCACGAAACGCTGCCCTGGGTGGGGGAACCGCATGCGGGCTGTGCCACTGGGACCTTCGGTGGAGCTCCCTATGGGGCTACGAAACGCTGCCCTGGGTGGGGGAACCGCATGCGGGCTGTGCCACGGGGACCTTCGGTGGAGCTCCCTATGGGGCTAAGAAACGCTGCCCTGGGTGGAGTAACCGCATGCGGGCTGTGCCACTGGGATCTTCGGTGGAGCTCCCTATGGGGCCACGAAACGGTGCCCTGGGTGGGGGAACCGCATGCGAACACCCCCACTGGGGCCTTCGGTGGAGCTCCCTATGGGGCTACGAAACGCTGCCCTGGTGGGGGGAACCGCATGCGAACACCCCCACTGGGGCCTTCGGTGGAGCTCCCTATGGGGCCACGAA